CTTGAGGAATTTTTAGACAGCCAAGTAGAGACTTTGAGGAGGCAGTTGAATATAGAAATCCAGAACTTCACTGGAATTAATAGCTCTGGAGATAAAAGTTTGGAAGTTGTCAATGGATAGATGTATTAAAAGTCTGGGACTGAATGTGATCATCTGGAGGTGAATATAAATAGAAAAGAGAGCCCACTATTCCTATCAAACTACTAACTTCATTTTTCACAGAAATAGAAAAAGAAATAGAAAAAATTTTTTCTAAAATTCATATGGAACCAGAAAAGAGTCCACATAGCCAAAGCATCTTAAGCAAAAAGAACAAAGCCAGAGACATCATATTTCCTGACTTCAAACTGTACTGCAAGGCTACAGTAATCAAAAAAAAGTATAATACTAGTACAAAAACAGACACATCACCAATGGAAGGAACAGAATAGAGAACCCAGAAATAAAGCCACACATCTACAGCTAGTAAGCAATGGGGAAAGGACTCTCTATTCAATAAATGGTGTTGGGATAACTGGCTGACCACATACAGAAGAATGAATCTGGATTCCTATCTCTTACCATATAAAAGATTAACTCAAGAGGGATTAAAAACTTAAATGTAAGACCAGAAACTGCAAAACTCATAGAAGAAAACCTAGGAAATATCCTTCTCAACATCAGCCTTGGCAAAGAATTTATGGCTAAGTCCTCAAAAGCAATTGCAATAAAAGATAAAATTGACAAATGGAATCTAATTAAACTGAAGAGCTTCTGTGTAGCGAGAGAAACTGTCAGCTGAGTAAATAGATGACCTAGAGAATGGCAGAAAATATTTGCAAGCTATGTATCTGACAAAGGTCTAATATTCAGAATCTATAAGGAACTTAAATCAACAAGCAAAAAACAAATAACCCCATTAAAAAATGGGCAAAGAACATGAACAGACACTTCTTTAAAAAAGATATACAAGCAGCTAACAAACATGAAAAAATACTCATCACTAATCATCAGAGAAATACAAATCAAGTCCACAATGAGATACCATTTCACACCTGTCAGAATGGGTTTTGTTAAAATGTCAAAAAATAACAGATGTTGGTGGGGCTGTGGAGGAAAGGGAATGCTTATACATTGTTGCTGAGAATGCAATTCGTTCAGCCTCTGGGGAGAGCAGTTTGGAGATTTCTCAGAGAACTAAGAGGTGAACTACTATTCAGCCAAGCAACCCCATTGCTGAGTTTATACCCAAAGGAACATAAATCATTCTGCCAAAAAGACACATGCACCTGTATGTTCATCACAGCACTATTCATAATAGCAAAGACATGGACCCAACCCAGGTGCTTATCAACGGTAGATTGGATAAAGAAAATGTGGTATTAATACTTATATACCAAGGGATACTATGCAGCCATAAAAACAATGAAACCACGTCCTTTGCAGCAACATGTATGCAGCTAAAGTAATGCAGAAACAGAAAATCAAATAACATGTTCTCACTTATAAGTGGGAGCTAAACATGGGGTACACATGAACATAAAAAGGAGAACAATAGACACTTGGAAATACAAGAGTGAAAAGGGAGTGGGGCAATGGTTGAAAAATACCTATTGGGTTCTATGCTCACTGCCTGGGTGATGGGTTCAATCGTACTCCAAACCCCAGCATCATGCAATATGCATTTCTAACAAACATGCACTTATACTCTGGAATCTAAAATAAAAATTGAAAAAAAGAAAGAAAAGAGAGCCCAGGACGCAATGAAATATATTTAATAGTCTGTGAATATTCTCAAAGCTCTTCTTCCCATCACAAATAATAAACATTGATGATCATTGTCTAGATTCATTAATTCATTAGGTTTTAAAATAGTGGTAATCTAATTCTGTCATCCTTTCTTCAATTTACTTGCTGGAAAGAGAAAATTCTATAAAGAGAAAATTCAATGACTTAACCTAATAAAAGTTTGTTTTTTGCTCAAGCAATAGTCCAATGAGACTGCTGCTGATGTCTTTAATATACCGGACTCCTCTAGGCACTAGCTCAGATCACTTTCCTCTTGTGATTCTCTGCTCTTCTGGGTCTTTGGAATCTTCTCTACTAAGTTGGTGAATGGAAAAAAAGAATGGGGGATCAGATGTGGCAAGATTTTATAGGCCAGGCCTCGAAGTGTTCTTTTTCTACCTTTATTCCATTGACTAGAACAGTCATATGGCTGTACCTAACTGCAAGGGAGGCTGGGATATGTAGTTCAATTGAATGTCCAGGAGGAAAACAGAAATAATTTGGTAAATCATGAAACAGTCTCTGGCCATATGGCCATAAGCTTGATAATATACAATCATACATTTATAATTTGTGGTAAATGCTAGAAAGTAAAATAATGTATACAAATGAGAATAATGGGCTGGGAGTAGATAGCTATAATACTTCAGGAAAGTCCTTTGCAACGAGATAACATTTAAGCTGAGACCTAACAAATGATGACAAGAGTGGTGGGAGAAAGAATGTTCTAGCCATGTATGAAGGTCCTGAGGTAGAAAAGAGCTTAGAGAATCCAAGGACCTGCAAGAAGATCCATGTGGCTGAACCCAGAAAAGAGAGTTATGAGACAAAGCTAGACTGGTTTGTCTCTATCATAGTCCATATCATGTGCTCCATAGTAAACGGTAGTAGAGAAAAGTGGAAGTGATAAAAAGTTAATATTTAATCCCAATAGAAGAGGAAGGACATTGTATGATTAGCGTTTTTTAGCATTTAATGTTAACAGCAATGGAAAGGCATAATGTGGTTAGTGTTTCTAACAGAATGTTAAAATGGGACTCTTCCTGACTCATTGCAGCTGAGGGCCTAATTACCCCACATTCCAAAGTGAAGTGAGTCAGATCATCCATGGCAGAATTACAAAAGAGGTGCTGAAACCACTTCTATGGATCTTCACTCCTCTGCCTATCTTAAGGCTATGTAGGAACTGAAATGGAAAAGGCTAAGGAGAGCATTGAAAGAGTCTCCAATGCATTATGTCTTCCCTACAACCCCATGAGAGATTGGTAGGACAGGTATTTGTACCTTACCTCAGGTGTGGTAGAGAGGGATACTCCAAGGAGACCACATGGAAGGTTTGACTTATGTCCTGTGGAGTCCATGGGTCGCAGAAATGCCTGGTAAACAGCTTACTGGCATCAAAGTAAGGTACTGCATTTGGAAAATAAGTGGCATTGGCAGATTGCATTGGCAGCTCCAAGGTATGAAATTGTTGGTAGGAATATATACGTAGGGTCATTTAAAAAGGGATTATGCTTAAGAGGCCTTCTGCCCACACCAGACAACCTTAGCAGAAAGAGTCTGGAGATGTGTCTTCAGATTCAGAAGCTGAAGGTGGGGCTGGAATGGGTGTGTAAGCATCCCGCTAAGGTTAAGCCTTTGCCTATTTCAATGAGCGCCAATTAGACGAACTTACAGAGGACTATCTAGCCTGCATTAAAAAAAAACCCCAAAACCCTGAGAGTAAGAGTCAGCTTTAAACACCTGCCATGGCTAGAGTCTGTCAATGCTAGATTACAGCTGTGTCTGTCACACAAGATCTTTTCTGTTCCTTATCTCTCTTTCCTGGCCCCTCCACCGCTGGCTGGCTGAAGGGGCTGAGACAATGAAGAGGAGGAGGCCTGGAGAGAGGAGCCAACCCCACCACAAAGGCCGCAAGCCCAAGCAGGTTTGGGTGGGTGGTGGGGAGGAAGCATTAACCATAATGAAGTTCAGAGTTTCAACCAACACACTGAACTGGGCATTTTTATTATTGAAATGAGACTATTTAGTGACTAGAAGAGAGAATTCGTACTAATTGAGAATGCCAAAAAATGTCAAGGGATTTGCCCCATGCACCAGGAAAGAACCTGTCCTGTAGAGCTGGTTTGGTCAGGCTGCTGGGAAGAAGAGTATAAAGTTGTTTTCTGTTCTTACTTTAAGGTTTCTGGTTCTGTATAAAAGTGACTTGTTTCAGTGAACCCTGTCTCTACTAAAAATACAAAAAAAATTAGCTGGGCATGGTGGCGCATGCCTCTAGTCCCAGCTACTTGGGAAGCTGAGGCAGGAGAATTGCTTGAACCCAGGAAGTGGAGGTTGCAGTGAGCCAAGGTCACGCCACTGCACTCCAGCCTGGCGCCTGGTGACGGAGTGAGACTCTGTCTCAAAAAAAAAAAAAACTTTACTTGTTTTAAACAGTCACTCTGGTTGCTGTGTGGAAATCAGACCAGAGGATGGCCCGTGTGAATGCAAAGGGTCAGTGAAGAGGTGATAGCTGGCTCCTCTACTTCCTGGCTGTGTGATGTGGGAAAAGTCAGTTAACTTCTCTGTGCATCAGTTTCTTCATCTTAAAGTAGTGCTAGAATGCTTTCTAGGGTTATTGAGAAGACTAAATCAGCTAATGCATTTAAAGTACTTAGAGGAGTACCTGACCCATAGCAAGAATTATAAGGTGTTTGCTACTGTTTTTATTTCAAAAATTCTAATTGTAGCAGCCTTAATGTAAGACAGTGTTGACTTTGATTGTCTTTAACCAGAGAGTGAGAGAAAGCTCATGATGTATTTTAGAATGATATTCAACAGGGCTTTGTGGGGGATGCTTGGATGTGGAGACTGAGGCAGAGGGAGAGGACAAGAATTGCTCCCAGGGTTCTGGTTTGGACATCTGGATGGAATTGAGATGACTGAGATTGAGGAGGACAAGAATGGTATAAGGCTTAATAGAGATTCCTAGTTACTGATGCTTTAAAAAGTATGTATTTTATTTTATTTTTTTAGAGACAGGGTCTCACTGTTTCCTGGGCTGGAGTGCAGTGATGCAATCATAGTTCACTGCAGCCTCGAGCTCCTGGGCTCAAGTGGCCCTGCCACTTCAGCCTCCAGAGTAGCTGGGGCTACTGGTGTATGCACCATGTCTGGCTAATTTTTGTATTTTTCAAATTGTAGAGACAGGTTCTCACTATGTTGCCCAGGCTGGTCTTGAACTTCTGTCCTCAAGCCATCCTCCCGCTATGGCCTCCCAAAGTGTTAGAATTACAGGTATAAGCCACTGTGCCTGGCTAAAAGTCTATGTTTTAATAGCACCGAAAAATCTGAGTATCATGGGAATGATTTTTCTGAAATGTAAAGACTCTAAAACAAAGTACTTGTTTTGCTTGCTCACTTTTCTGATCCTTTGTCCCATTCTTTTAGATAATGATGCAGGGGATTCTAGGTAATTATGTAATAATATGGTTTTCCTTTTGAGAACCAAGAATGACCTCAACAGGCAATCTGTCCTTGCGTAATAAACACTGTTAGAAAATAAATAATATTAACAGTTCTAAAATTAAAGTTATCGTCATTGATAGATGTCTTCTAAAATTGCTGTATGTCTATAATAAACGTAATAAAAATATATTTATCCATGGGTACTGCAATATAGTGACAGCTGTTTTTTTTCAAAAGCACACACACAAACGCACAGATAAAATATTAGTGCTTATGTTTTAAATACCTTGAATGGCATGTCACCTTACGTTTGCTATTTATGTTGATCTTTGAAACTGGGGTAACAGCCTGATTCCCATCCTAAACATATGCTGTGGAGATATAGGAACACTGTCCTTTGGTCTTAACTCCCTATTTTCTTCCCTGCCCCCCTGGGATACAGTGTTGAGAACCAGAATTTATCTTTTGCCTTGCCAAAAGCTGTCTTTATTACCCCCTCCTGGCTTGCTAGGGGTTGTGGAAGAGCATTTATATTAGATGCTAGGGCTGACCAATGAATAACTGGCTGAGGGCCATTTTTAGTTTCAGTCCTTAAATTTTGTAGAAACTATAAAAGTGACTCAAATAACTCTTTGTAGACTTGCACATCCCCTCATCAGAACTTTCCTTTGAGGCTGGGTCTTTAAGGGTTCGGTGAGTGGGAAGAGCAGGGTGTTCTCTGAGACCCTGGTGTCCATGATTATCCACCAGGGCTGGAGCCCCATCTGGCTTAATGACTGCAGTATTCTTGATGTAGCAAGTATCCTTTTAGGTAAAAATAATAAATCTGCATTTTAGTGACAGATGTTTGGTTTGGCATATTACTCTTGCTCTTGGCAAATTCATACAATGGCAAAGCCAATCCACATGATCCAGAAGGGAGAAAATAAGATCAAATGTTAAAATACTACACTAATTCCCTAGCAGCTAACAGGTGGATGGGAGAGGAGGCCTTGGCTTTCAAATAGTGACTGTATCAGATAATAGAGGAAAAATTTGAAATCTGTACAGGTACATACCAGGGAGTTAAAGTGCCTAAAACCAAATGTTTGATGTTACTATATCTCCTTTTATTTTTATAGCTGTAGTGATCAACTGGTAACACCCACTTTGAAAATTTTCAAGACCAACATCATCTCAGCCATAAGGTATGGTACCTTGGGGGAATCTATTGGATATTTGTTGATGTACTAGAGTGAACCTAGAACTGCTTATTCCTTTGCTTCTTTTAAAATTTATTTTCTAAAGTCAGCTGATTAGTGAAAAATGAAATACAATTTGTCTTTTAGTTTTCATCAAAGTAATATGCATACATAGTAAAAATAAGGTAGTGTTGAGGAGTTTATACTGAAAAACAACAGCTGTCTGTCACACTTCCCAGTCCCACTTTCCAGAGGAAAACCCCCACTCTTTTTTTGATAAAAGAATTATGTTTTTTTGAGACAGGGTTTTACTCTGTTACCTAGGCTGGAGTGCAGTAGTGTGACCATGGCTCACTATAGCCTTGACCTTCCAAGCTCAATGGATCCTCCCACCTCAGCCTCCTGGGTAGGTGGAACTACGGGTGTGTACCACCATGCTGGGCTAATGTTTTCATTTTTTGTAGCGACAGGATCTCACTATGTTACCCCGGCTGGTCTTGAACTCCTGGGTTCAAGCAATCCTCCCACGTTGCCTCCCAAAGTGCTGGGATTATAGGCACAAGCCACTGCACCCAATCAATATGACAATTTTTAATCACTGATTTTTATCCCTTTATTCTTTTAATCTGTCTCCTGCAAAGTTACAACTGCAAGTAATTTGGTGTATCTCTTTCAAGACTTTGTTTCTATGTATTTTAGTTATTCTCTGTAATAAAAACAAGGATTTAGCTACCCTTTCCAAATTTTTTATAGTTATTACAGTTTTATTCTTGGTTGCTTTTATACCTTTAAAACCTCTAGTTTTTGTTCCATCAGCCACATATAATGCCTCTTGACTCCCAAGCTATATTTATATATTCATGATTATTTATTGGGTACTAACTATACTTAGACAGGCACTGTTCTAAGTGCTCAGTGAACAAAACAGAGCTCTCAGACTCATTGGCACTTACATGGTAGTTGGGGGTAGGGGTGTTCATATACAGAAATTATACAGTAGACATTAATAAATTCAACATAGAAAAAAAAGAAATACAGGAGAAGATAGTTCAGGAGTCCAGAAAGTGGGAATAATAATTTTAAATCAGGTGGTCAGATTTAACCTCATTGAGAGATGACATTTGAGCAACTCAAAGGCAGGAAGGATATTATTCATGTGACCATTTTGGGGAAGAGGGTTCCAGGCAGAGGCAACAGCAAAGGCCCCAAGGAAGGAGTGTGCCTGACACCTTCAAGGATTACAGGTGGCTAGCAGGGCTAGAATGGATTAAGCAAAGGGCAGCGTGGTGGAGAATGAGGTCAGAGAGATAACAGGGTGAGATGATATAGGGCCATGTGGATCAAAATAAAGAATTTTTGTTTTTGATTTGGGTGAAGTGAGAAACCATTGCAAGGTTTTAAGCAGAGGAGTAACATGGTCTGACTTGTGGTCAGATGGATTTGTATAGCTTCCATGTTGAGAACTGTAAGAAGGCATGGGGGAGGCAGGGGAGTAGTTGCGTGGCTCTTACAGTCATCAAGACAGAGATGCTAGTAGTGCTGACCCGGAGGTGCTTGTGGCGTTGGTGAGAAGAGGTCACATTCTAGAGGTACACCGATGAGACTATCTCTTTTCTCCTTTCTTCCACCTTCTACCCTTCCACCTACCATAACAGTGTGTCAACTATACCTTTTTTTTTTTTTTTTTGAGACAGGGTCTTGCTCTGTTACCCAGACTGGAGTACAGTGGTGTGATCTTGACCCCCTGCAACCTCCACCTCCTGGGCTCAAGCAATCCTGCCTCAGCTTCCCAAATAGTCGGGACTACAGGCATGTGCCACCATGTCCAGCTAATTTTTGTAGAGTTGAGGTTTTACCATGTTGCCCAGGCTGGTCTTGAACTCCGAGCTCAAGCAATCAGCCTGCCTTGGCCTCCCAAATGTTGGAATTCCAGGCATGAGCCATCAGATGTGGCCTAGACTTTTGTTTTTATGTTTTCAGGGTTAATGACAAATTCTTTCTTTATCGTAACCCATCTACATTTCCTTTTTTATAGGTCCAAGACCATCACCTCTGGGCTCTTTGAAAAAGGATATTCTAGAGTCTAAATTAAATAAATTCTCTTTTATAAGTATAGAAATTGTTGAAAATTTTGCCACATTTTAGCTGGCTTCATATTTGTATCTTGACTTTTCTATATAATTCTTGTTTGCTTTTCCTGGAATTTCCAATTATCTTTCTTTTATCTTGCTGAGAGAAGAAATATATATTTTCTTAACCATGTCACTGATATCATCTATTTCCATGGTCACTCTTTTTTTTTGTGTAAACTACATTTTATTTTTCTTCCTGAAGATAGTATTAATGTTATACTTGGGACCCACTGACTCCCTCTTCTGATTTAGATTGTTTTGTAAACCCCATGCACAGCTGTCACCCTGAACTGATTTCTCTTTATACTCCTGGACAAGTTCTACACTTTCGTGCATTCGATACCTTTGTCTTTGTTGGTTTGCATTTCACTTCTCTGGAATATCTCCAAAAGTATCTTCACCAGAAAAACAGGTGGGAGATGAAATTTCTGAGTACTTGAAAATCTAAAAATGTCTTTAATATGCCTTCACATTGATTTATAGTCAGGTGGAGTACAACATTCTATATTCAAACATTTTTTTCACCTGGAGTATTACTAATAAGAAGCTTAGGCTGGGTGTAGTGGCTCACACCTGTAATCCCAGCACTTTGGGAGGCTGAGGTGGGAGGATTGCTTTAGTCCAGGAGTTCAAGACCAGCCTGGGCAATGACAAAACCCTGTCTTTACAAAAAATACCAAAAATGAGCTGGGTGTGGTAGCTTATGCTTGTAGCCCCGGCTACTTGGGAGGCTGAGGTGGACAAGACTCTTCCTTGGAGGAGGGGGTGGGGAAAAAAGCAGTAGCTTGATGTATTGTTGTTCCTTGGTAGGTGATCTTTTTTCTCTTCCTCTCTAGAGTCTTCTCATGTTCATTGCAATACTATGCACAATAGCCTAGATGTGGGAACAACCTACATGTCCATTGATAGATGAACAGATCAAGAAACTGTGGTATATACATAAAATGGAATATTATTCAGTCATAAAAGGAAATCCTGTCATTTGTGACAACATGGATGAACCTGGAGGACCTTACACTAAGTGAAATAAGATAGTTTTCCATTTCTATGGCAGAGAGTAGAATGGTGGCTGCTAGGGGCTGAGAGAGGGGGAAATGGAGAGGGCTGTTCAATGGGTATAAAGGTTCAGTTATGCAAGATGATTAAGTTATAGAGATCTGCTGTATAGCATTGTGTTTACAGTTAATAGTACTGTACTATAAACTTAATTTTTTTTTCAGAAGGTAGGTCTTATGTGTTCTTACCACAGCAAAGAAATTAATTAACTTAAAAAATCTCTTAATATTTAATGTTCCAACATTTCATAATGTTGTGTTTAGTTGATCTTTTTTTCATTCATTTTGCCTGGCACTCATTTATGCCCTTCACTAGGAATAGTTACATCTTTCTTTAACTCTGGATGAGACCATATATATATATATGTGTGTGTGTGTGTGTGTGTGTGTGTGTATATACATGCATATATATATAAATTTTTTTTTTTTGCTAGTACAAGTTTTATTCTAGGCAACGGCAAATCATCCAAGGGGATTTTCACAAATGACCCCAGAGCCCACTCCCATCCCCCCACACAGCAGCGGGGCACACATTCAACACTCCTGAGACAAGCATCTGTGTGCTTTTTCTCTACCTTCTCTGGAATAGTCAATCCCA